TTTGATATAGTATTTAATGACGAAATTGACAATTAATGATTATTGCACCATTTTTTTTACCATAGCAACAAAGTCATTATATCTACAATCAGCACAGTGGTCCAAAGTGTTAATGACTTAACAGAAAAAGTATTTACTAACTTTAGTTATCACTACAAAGACTACTTGGTTGTGTGAAAGAGCAATATTGGCACCAAAAAATGTGACAGTTAATTCTAGCAACCAACAACTACTCCAAAATATTCCAGGGAATCCTTATATTTACAAATCAATTGATACAGTTATCGATCAAAATTAAGTTGTCAACTATCCAACGGAGTTTCTAAATTATTTGGAATTTCCAGGATTGCCTCCTCACTAACTACAACTTAAAGTTGGAGCTTTATTTGAAGTTAGAATTTACAATACTTCTTTATATACAACATTGCATGTTTTTCCAAAAGGAGAGTATACATAAAGATTGTTAGCTGTTCCTACTCTAGAGCATCCTACATACAGTTGACCATGAGAGAAGCAGTCTTCTTGTAATTGTAGCCCTACAACTTTCACTGTTTGTCCTTGTGATTTGTTGATCGACATGGCAAAACTTAATCTTACTGGAAATTGTAAGCGCCTAAACTGAAACGGCATCGCTGATGTTATTAGAGGTATCCTAGGAATAAAAGTATCTTCGCCCTTGCCACAACCAGTTTGAATTTGTGCTTCAATGACATGAGGCTGTAATGCCTTTATTATTAATCTGGTACCATTGCAGAGCTTAGGCTGATCTAAATTTTGTAGAAGCATTATCGAAACTTTGTTTGATTAAATGCTTTTTTATTTCTCGCATCACAGCTTTTGTCTACTTACTGAATGAGTTTATAAAATTAACTGTATATTATTAAAAATACTGCCAAATCTGGAAAACTAGTGCATTAAATTTTGGTTCTGGTGTGAAATATTTGAAGCAGTGTTGAATAAATCATTTTTAAGACTAATATAGTCAAAATATTTTATGATATAAAAATTATCTTACATGCAAAATTATAATGACCTATAAAGTGGAATTTCAGATATACTAATTCTTAACCTTGTTCAGTCTTGAACAATAAGTCTGCCTGCTGTGTTTTAGAAGTCAAAGTATGGTTATTAAATCAGTATATGCTAATACTACTGTGTCAACACTTTCATCATGTCTGGCCCCCATGTTGACTGCTGTTATCATTCTTTCTGAAAATAGAGATATTCCCATAACTCAGCAACTGTTCTTCAAATGAAGGATAACATTGGGACAGATATGGCTAATTTCTGGGGAGATTTTTCTTGCTGCAATATCTAATACTATTGTTAGAAGGATGCAGTAACTGAAAATGATGGTGGAAATATTGAACAATTGGTATAGTGGTCTCCCCTAGCACTATTTTAAGAAAACAGAGTAATAAACTTCCCATGATCTCTCCTTTGTGGATGTACACAAAATATTTTCTACCATATATACACATTTTCCCTACATCTGTTTAAAATACTCATACTTACCTTCATAAATCACCCTGTATATCAGTATATTCTGTTTCAAGTGACATGTGTATAGCCAATATTGCTCTGGTTTAGGTGTTATATCTCTAACCTTAACAGTATTGTGTCTTAGATTACATATTTCTTACGACAACCTTTCTCAATTTTACACATTATATGTCTTTTCTCAACTTTATTTTAGGTGCTGTATCTTCAGCTGGTGCAGGATCCAAACTCTGGAGTGTCCATGGAGGAAACAAACGTGTTCCTGAAGAACTGCTCAAACAAGCCGAGGTAAAGGTCCACAACGCTCTAGTTACAGAAGTTGTGTTGCAAGAAAATGGTAAATTCCTTATGCACATAAGCAGGCTAGATTTGCCAAAAAATCAGCAATTAACTAACAGTAGTGAATATGACATTGTTATTATAACAGTTCCATTGATAAATGGAGTTTCCAATATTAGATTCAAAGGATTTACACCTGATATTCACAATCTTTCTGGAAAATACCATCACACTGTTGCAACTTTAGTCCATGGAAGAATAAATCATTCAGCACTTAAACTTGATTCTTCATCAAACATTGAAGTCATCCTGACAACTAATCCTGAATTGTTTTTTAACAGTATAGGAAAACAATATCCAGTTGATTACACCAAAGGGGAGAAAGTACCTGATGTGTGGAAAGTTTTTAGTAAGAAACCACTGTCCGAATCAGACATCAACTATCTTTTTGAAAAAGTAGAAGAAAAGAAAGTTATAGACTGGTCAGCTTATCCGCACTATACACCACCTGAAAGTCTCCAGCCCTTCATTTTGCACCAAGGTCTCTATTATACAAGTGCTATTGAGTGGGCTGCGAGTGCTATGGAGATGAGTGCTATAGCAGGAAGAAATGTAGCATTGTTGGTGCATTCAAACTGGCATGGAGTTAGCAGTAAAATTGACCAGATAATATCAAGTGGCAAGGAAGAATTGTAACTTACTATGATTTATAAAACTTTAGTAGAACAAATAGGAGTTGTTTTTGAAAAGAAAACATTAATTTATAGAGTTATAAATAGAAATTAAAACTGTTAAAACACTATATTATAGTCCGAGTATTTTTATTTGTATTGTGATTATTAATGAAAGCTTCATGCACTACCTTTTGATTGTATGCTTGAAAGAAAAGTTGTATATCATGATTTCTATTAAGCTTTTTTTTTAATGAAAAGAAATCATAGTATAACTTTTGTGAAATAAGCATTGAAGTTTCAAGTAACTGGAAATGACTAACGATGATTAAATATATGTATATCAGTTTGCTTACGTGATCTCTTTAATAATAATAATAACACTTACATGAAGACAAACAGTTAGGTCTGTCTGTTATCGGGTATAAGACTTGTATGTTGCAGTAAAGAAAGTATTTTCAGTGATGTTTGTTCAGATTTTTTTTTTCAAACCTTTATCTAAAGCCTAAGTGAATGTAGCACAATTTTCAGAACTGGTGGAAATGTTCAAATTTGTCAAAAAAAACATTTATTGTTGACATTTAAAACAAGTAGTTGTGAACTTGTGGCTCATATTGAATGTAACAGCAAGATAATTTTTTAGGAAAATATAACAGCTGTGCACATTGGATGTAACATAAAAAAAACTGTTTGAGTTAGTTGTAATTTATTTTATAGGAATGAAGTAAAGATATACATAGCTAAAAATATTTTAACTCTTATTCTCACTAAATAAAAATGACTCTTAGCAAATTGATAATCCAAAAAGAATTTTTTTAAAGCCTTGAGATGATCATTACTCAGAATTATCAGATATGCTATGTCACAAAACTTTGCATTTTTTTGCAAATACAATTTTCTATTTCTTATTGCTTTTCATCTTATGCCATGCTGTTTAAGTAGAGCTTCATCTTTGACTTGCAATCTGTAGATCATGGGGCTGAAACCCATCACCAAATATGTTCACAATTTCAGCCATGGAAGCATTATAATGTGATGATCAATCTCACTATTTGTTGGTAAATAGTAACCCAAAAGTTTGCACTGGGTGGTGTTGACTTGCTTACCTTCCCTCAAGTCTCTCACTTTAAAATTAGGGGCAGCTAGCACATATATAACCCTCAAGTAGCTTTGTACAAAATTAAGCAAAAACACATTTTTTCTTGCTGTTTTAAACATTTTCAGGCTTAATGAATTTTAAGCTGTAGATTGTTAGCTTGTATTTGATTCTTTTTCTTTAAGCACTTTCTATTTTATATAAAGGCCCAAGTGGCTCAACTGTAAGTCTGAAGGTTTATATAGTTAAAAACTGGGTTTTGATACCTGTGGTAGGCATAGCACAAATAGTTCATTTTTGCTTAACAGCACTTCAACTTTATATAATTGTTTTTCTTTTCTGGATACATTTCACAAAACTTTTTATCTCATTATCATTATTTTGTATACATTAGCAGGTATATTTACACAATTCAGACTTTCTTATGGTGTTACATTATTAATATCACTTCTTTTTTAAGCAGTTTTAGAGATAAAACTTTGCATATTTTGGATTAAACAATCATATAATTTTTAGTCAATGTTTTTCTACAGTATAGTAAAAACAGTAGATGATATGTTACTAAAGTGCTTTAGGAAGCTTCATAAGAAGGTTCTAAAGGTTATGCAAATGTGAAACTAAGATGAAAAACTGTTTTTATCACCTTTAACTCTGACTAGCTCAGTAAAAGCAGTTCAATTACACATTACATTGTTGCCGTCACGTCTTAACCATTTTATATATAAAAGAATACCGAAATCTAGTAAACGCTCCAGCATTCAGGAAGGGACAGGATCCTTCCAGAAGTTCATGACGTGTTACTAGGGTCACGTGACTTCCGCTGTCATAACATTATTAAGAACGAAGCTACACTATTGAACGCCGCTGTTTAGCTTTATAAGCCCTCAGACTTACTGCTGAGCTACCAGAGGGCCCGATACTATATAATATGTTTTATATCGATTGTTTCCACCCGAATTTGTCGTTTGTTTCACACCCTTTTAGAAAATCTTCATACATATAATTTTGGTTAACATGAATAATACACGCACTTTACACCTAACTTTCTATGTGCTGTTCATGTAAGGTCGTTCACACACATTAAAAAATTATTTAGGCTTTGGAAAAAGCGGAAGGACAAATCAGCGAGAATAGTATTGGGATATCAGAAAAGATATCGAATAAGGCGAGCCCATATTATTGAAAACACTAATTTTTCTTATCTATATTCGTCCTTGTAATAAATATTACAAGCTTCATCTACTTCTGGATTGTTTTTGTGTACAACAAAAATTACTATTCATAACGTAGCTGTACGATGACGAGAGTTCAATAATCTACATCTATTAATTCATAATCTATTGTTTAATTAATACAGAATAAATACACCATTGTTGAAGAATATTACGTACAAGTGTTGTATTTTTAACACTAGAGTAACGCATTTGTCACGTGACCCTATGACGACAAGGGGAATTTTAATTATGGTTACAAAGCCACGGTGTAATTCTTCCGGTACTCAGCGGTACTAGTACCGGAACTTATTTGAGCTGCTTTGTCTTTTTTTTTTTATGTTTACACGTAGTTTTTTTTTTCAATAACAGGTCCCCTTCACCCATCTGAGTACCACTACTTTATTTTTTTGAGAATTTCACCCCTATTATGAAATGGTGTGCCGTTGATAGTTTGGCTTGTAGGGGTCACCCCCATCACCACCCATGATTGTAACATGTTGCTTGTGAGAGAAGAAAATGTTAAATATTTGAAAGCTACCTGGTGTATCTATGGTTCCGAGATAAACAGTCTTAACTGGGCTACACCATAGCTGAGTAGGCCTGTTATCAAGAAAGAAAGAAATCGCTGCATCCTCTTCCGCCAGGACCTCCCCATGTACCAATGATTAATTATATTATTCTCGTAAAGACTGAAATTTTATTATCATGCTTATTAGGTAGCAAAATTTACGTTTAAAATAGATTGTCCACCGAAAAAATTGCCAAGTAAAATAATTAAATTGTGCAATTGGCAGTAGTTAGAGAAAACACACGCTTCGTTAGTTATCAATTTCCTGAAGTGGTTTATGGTAACTTTACAGTGATGTAGTGTAAATATAATTGTTTAGGTTTCTCGCTTCATTGTCTCTATTAGACATTATGTTGTATTCTCCATGTTGGCACAGCGTCTCTCAGTTGCTGAGACAGGAATGCGCATTATAGTGTTAAAACTACAACTCTGCGTGTTAAAACCTTTTGCTGCGCTCATACACTGATTTGTATACGAGGATAGTGGACGCCACTATCAATATCAGTTAATGGCAGGGGTTGAAATCACAAGAAAATTGTCAAAAATCATCCCACTACGTACAAATCAGTGCGCTCTGTATACTTGTTCAATGATCGTAACGGTAAACCGCATAATGGTTTGCGCACCTTTCTTACTTGTAAGATTCCCTATTGGCTTATATTTTCAAGTAACTCGTCCCATTAGCATATATGCTATTGCATTTTGAATTTATTTATAAGAATTATTTGGAACATATTATATGAATTATAATCAAATGTTATCCATAACTAGTACAAATCCCTTTACTACTGCTATTTACCACATAGCAGAGTGGCGCAGTGGAAGCGTGCTGGGCCCATAACCCAGAGGTCCGTGGATCGAAACCACGCTCTGCTAAAATATTTTTTTTTCTTATGTATAAATTAAATAATAAATACAACAGATTACAAGATTACGCTTCAACAATGTAAAACTTTAATACCTTTATGTTAACTCCAGACTGCTACGCCTTATAACTACAATTAAAACAATTTGTATACGTAGACTAAAAGCGATGTACAAAAAAAACAACAACAACACACACACACGAAAAAATCATCCTATCATACTGTGAAAGACACACTAAATATAATAACCATTAAAGTACGTATTTGAAAGTGATACATTTTCAGTGACACAAAACGGTATTTAACAATACCTATCCTGTTAAAACGTAATAAAATCTAGTGTTAAAAACAAACCTTACTTATAGTTTTCTAGTTCACTATCGTGCGAAGTGTTGAATGCTTTTGTATTAAAACTTAAAGTTGAATATTAGGTATTAAGAAAAATTGCAACGCTCTGTCATTGTTGGAAGAATAAATAAACAACCTTATGGTTCGACATTCCAATACTTCAAGTCGTTCGCTAATTCTATAGCAGCCTCACGCACTTCTCTTCGGCGAGAACGTTTGGCTAGTTCTTGTAGAATTGAAACTGGAATCTGAACAGAATAATTTAGTATAAATCAAAGATGCAATAAAAATATATCATAGGTATACTTGTATTTAAATTAGATTCATATCGTTTTTTTAAAGTATGCCATTCAAAGTTTCTTTATGAAAAATTACATTATGCAAGGCTCTTATTTTTGTGTCCTTCAGTTGTGACACCGTGTGATCAATTGTTTGTCACCCTTAAAACTTAAAATAACGAAAATAATTTAGTGACAGTATACAACCCCACAAAAAGATGTTGCCATTAAAGAAAATTATCTATTTTTGACAGCGCCATCTTTTAATTGAAATCAAAATTCAAAATTTGTATATTTTTTGTCCTTTTAAAAAACACAACTTCAGAATTAATTATCCAAGCATATACCTGTAGCTAGTAGTCTTAAAAACTCGATTTGATATCCAAGCTGTGCTAATGCTGCAAGACATCAGAAACATTAATACTGCCGAAATAAGGCACATGTGGATATATTTCTAGTAAGCAATTTTCTACTAAAAAGTATCCAGATATATTGCCAGTTTAAAAGACCCAAACAGTTGATAAACAGTTTCACAAAAATACGATTTCAGATGCTTACAGGTTTCTACAGTCTGTAGACAAATAACAAAACAATGATGGTTGTTTACCTACAGTTTCTAGAACATATGATACCGTGAATAAACAAACACATAGAA